TTTTGCTGTTTGTACAGCATTTTTTCCTTTATGATAAAAAAAAAAAGAAACAAGTTTCGATAAGACACATTGTTTGCATCCACTTTTGCAATGAGACAAATTAAACAATATTTGAATAATCTTAACGGTTTTTTTGTAACACATCTCAAGGTCATTTATTGTAATATTCATTGGTTTGTATATTTCTAATCATTTTCACGTCGATCAGTGTCTCAAATGTTGGCTATCAAAAATCGCTATGAACTTTCCAAACAACCCAATAATAATAGTTATATTAAAAGTTTGGTATATTTTTGACTCTACCATGTATAAAGCCTTGTTACTTTTATATTGAAAATTTGAAGTAGCTTTATGATAGGATAAGATATATTTTAATTAAGTATTGTCAAGATTGAAACCATAATTGCTTAAAATATTTGGATCTAAATTCAAAATTTAATACAATTAATTAATAAGAAGAAATATTTAATAAGTTTTTGTAAGATAGCTTTATATTTTTGTGTAAACATTTTTCAGCATGATAACAGTTGAATGATTATGCCGAAGAATTGCTATTGGCGTAAGTTACACCAAACATTTGGTGTAACAGTTACACCAAACATTTGGTGTAACTGTTTCAACAGAATATGTGTAGAAATGAGAGTAATTTTGCATATACAGTATATTTTTATTAATAAGTCATTGTATTAGTAAAATTAATCAGTCATTTCTTACACAAATTATTCATCTTAAAGCACTGTTTTCCAAATTTTGGACTATCCCCTTTCAGTGCTATTTCTTATATTTACATATATAAACATCAGTAAGCATGATGTATTAATAATAAATCAAACAGTTGCTGTAATTAATCAGGTTAATTAAGTGCTATTATTAACGACTAACTATTGAGTTTATTTCTTATATTGCAATTGTTTCATTTATTTCTTATATTTTTTGTTTGTTTTGAAATGAATATTTGTGCTTGTCTTTCAACAACTATACTGCCCTTACCTTCCAGTATTTCTCAAGTCTTCTACCACCTTCAAGAATGTGGTAACACCTTCTTTGGAAATCACTGTTTTAAAGCAGTATAGTTCAGATTTATCTTAAAGACTACAGTTTATAGTGGATAACTATTCAGCTAATCATAGTCTTTATCTAACATATGTAATTTGTGTAAAAATAATTTCGATAGTTTCTTCTTTCAGTTTGAATTATAAATATTATTTTTGTTATTTTGTTTAATAAAGATTTTTAATGATTTACACAATTGATGATTGATTATTATTTTTCAGGAGATTCTCATAAATCAAAATCTATAAATATACCTGCAATTAGCGGAAGCGATGATCTTGAAAAGTGTTACCTCAGAGTGACGGGTATGACGTGCGCTTCGTGCGTCGCCGCTATCGAAAGACACTTAATGAAAGTTGAAGGTTTGTTGAAATGTAAATATTTCAGTAATTAAGATAAACAATAATCAATGATTATTATATATATAGTTTTAATTAAACAGACAAACATCTTAAAAAGTAAATATTTTAATTAGATAAGTATATATTACAAATGTTTTTGACATTTACATAAATTTTTATTATATGTGACTGAAAATTTTGTTTGAATATACAATTTTACATTGAATTAGGAATTGAAAATAAAATACCTAAATAAATAACAGATTGGGTTATTAATAATTATCCATTTATTCCGTTGAAATTGCTCTGATTATTTGTTTAATTCTTACATTTTATATTTTTTATTACTTTTAATATTTACCAATTAATTCACATTTTAGTTTAAATAATTATAAAAAGTATAATAAGAGCTGAAATTATTTCCATTTACTTCGTTAGAATTGAGCCAGACACACAATTACTATATATATTTTGTGTATAAATGTGCTATGAGTTTTTTCAAATAAAATCATTTTATACAATTTATTGATAAATATAATTATAATTAAATTTAATGAAGAAATTTTTAATTTTTAAATAATTACATTGTATCTTTTGAAAATGCTAAATGTAAATAAACCAACAACTACTGGATTATATTATTGGGGTATTATATCACGACTATTTTAGATTAATATAACCGATGATGGTTATCTAAGGTTTAAAAAGATATGTGGAAGAGGAGATTGGAATGGAGGCTCGGGTGACATAACTAACAATGCATCCGTACAGTAAGTGGCAGTTGTGAGTTCGAGCCTTACTCTGGGTCGATGTTTTCTCCTCCAGAATTTTCTAAATTATTTAATTTAATTATAATTATTAAATCTAACAAGAGATGTCACCTAATGCCTCCCTCTACTGGCAAATTATTTAGTAATTAATTTAAAATAATTGTGATATAATAGCTTAATATAATGGAACATAATTTATATACAATGGTCCTAAATATATTTTTAAATGATTTGCTGGTAATGACTATGGATAACAAAATCTAGCTGTTCTAAATCTGTTTTAAGTATTCTTAAAATAATAATAATAATAAGTTTGTCTTGGTTAATTTATGGGCCATCCTGTATGTAATTAGGAAACTTTATTATATTTTAGTTTAAAAAAATTAACAGCTATCAATATAATCCTTCCAGAATTTGATAATGAAGTATGTAATGTTTATATTTTAAAGATTGCTTCTAAAATTTTATTTATTCTTTTAATGAAATTAAAATAAAATTGACGAAGCTATTTAATATTTCTGCAGGAGTCCATTGCGTGTTGGTGGCACTTATGGCGCAGAAGGCAGAAGTAAAATTCGATCCTGCATACGTAATGCCCTCTCAGCTTGCAAATATTGTCAGTGACTTAGGCTATCCTTCGACCGTTTTGGATGACGTTTCCTCGCAATATGGAGAAGTGGAATTATTAGTGAGTAAATTTATATTTTTTTATGTAAATTTTTAATAAAATTTTAAAGATGATTTCATTGACAAACATTCATTAAATTGCATTGTTATCAAATCAATAAATTCAAAGTGCATTTCTATACATTTTTTTAGATTAGGGGTATGACTTGTGCTTCGTGCGTCCACAGTATTGAATCTAATATTTTGAAGCTACAGGGTGTGGTGTCGGCAGTCGTTGCACTTTCTACAAACAGGGGTCATTTTAAATTTGACCCCGAAGTTACTGGTCCAAGAGATATCATTGAAGCCATTAGAGTAAATAAATTTTTCAATTTCTTTAGAAGATACAGATAATTTATACTACAGTATTTTAATAATTTTTAAATTTTCTATTTATATTTCACAGAAAATTTTATAAACTTTCAAAATATAATTAAACTTATTAAAATACTGGTTTATTAGTTTTTTAATTATTATCAATAGTAGTTTTTCAATAATTATCAAAAACTAGATGCAATTCATTCAAAATTTGAAAATACTACTATTTAAAACATTCGAATAGACAAATTTAACCTGTTATCATTAACATAACAGGAAAGTAACTATCTCATATTAAAAATTAACAAAGACAGATGATTTAAAAAATTAATAAAAGTGTATATAATTACTTATATATTAATAAAAGGACACACTACAAAAGAAAAATGTAAATATGATGATAAAATTGCAAATACAAATTGAAAGTTTTAAAGTCCTTACACACTGATATGTGTGAGTGATGCACAACATACGACACACAGTCATACATGAAGGTATAGGAAAATGAGAAATACACACATTATGAATAAACACATGAGAAATACACATTTTACTGTCTACATCCATCATGCACATTAGCATTTCACACTATTTACATATGCAAGATGTCCTTTTGTACTAAATCAATTATGTTCTATTACCTTCTTTCTGTATGATGCATCATTTTTGAGTTAGGAGCACTAATTACTGAATTTCATCACTGGAGACACTGCAAGCAAAAATGTCTTGTAGCATGTAGTTACTTCTCTATAACTATACAGTGTGTTCATAGTTGTAGCTAACTGCATTCAGGAGTGCATCTCTTACTTGGAGGAATAAAGACTACTATGCATCTTATAAGCATAATACATTTTTTAAATTAAATTTGATGACAAATTTAAAATTATTTTAGTGTCATTAATATTAATAATAGTGCAATATAACTGATACTTGTTATCATAATATTCTATGAATACAGATGTATTAAAATAACAATAATATCAGTAATGTTAACATTAGTAGCATACATAAATAAAAAATTTACTCTTAAAGAAAGTATGTTAAAAAATTTTGTTTAGGGACTGGGATTTGATGCTTCGCCAATGACGGATTGTACTCGAGACGCAAGCTATTTGTCACAAAAAGAGGAAGTTAAAAAGTGAGTCTGGTAATTAAAAATTTAAAAATTGATTATGTTTTATTCACATTTTATGTTTATATAATTATAAATGACTTCTTCACAAAAGATAAATTTATAGTCAATGTATGAAATGATTATTTTGTTCTTTTTTTGCGATTGTACAAAAGTGTAATGTTAAAAAAATGAAATAATCATTTTATACTCTTCAGAAAATTCAGAGTTTTAAATATTATCAATATAATTTCTCTTCATTTATTCTAGTTTTAAGTTAAACATTTTATAGTCAAACAATAAAAATGTCCAAATTTATCAAATTTTCTTTGCTTTTTTAATGTGTAAATTAACTTTTTACAAATTAAAAAATATTTAATTGTACATTGGTTCGAACAGTTGCTTTATACAATTACATTATTAGATTTTAATCAGATATTACAGAAACTTTAAGTTCAAAATCCTTTTAATAGTTTTTATCTGTTGAATTAACCATAACTTAAAATTTTAATTATTTAAAAACATTTCACTTTTCTTTTTTTAAGAAATATGTAAAATGTTAACTAGGTTTTCTCTCAATAAAATTTTATTTGTAAATCTGAATTGTTATATCCTTATAGCTTGTTAAATGAACTTATTTGTTTAATTCTATGAATTTTTTATATTGATATATAATTTTTAAATTTTTGCTTGGATTTTTCATTGTGCAAGATTCATTAACTTGGACCAGTTTTATGATTATTTTCACGTTACTTACAGTTAAAGAAAACTAATCAAACTTAAGGATGGAAATATCCATAAGAAACAAACTTGTAAACAAATAAATCTAAATAAATTTTGATCTTCAACCTTTTGATGCTATTTAAAAACAACTTGTAAAATAAAAGATAAAAATACATGTTATGATAATTAAAATTTTGGGGTCTCTACAAAGCCAGATATTGAGCATGACCTAATTCACCCAAAATTGTTTCTGATTTCAAAAGAGTTTGGGTGAAAAGCAGTTATGGACGATGCCTGGAAAATGCTGTGACAAAGTTCCTACAGTGGAGTCACAGCAGCCACAAACACTGAGACATAATAGATAGAGACTATAATTTGTGTAATATCCATGTTTCATAAACATAATTTTAGTACTTTTGAAAATGCTGTGTTGTTTGTATTAAGCCATTGGACATCTCTTATTATTAAAATTAACATTTTGATTTGATTAACATTTTGATCTTATTATTAATTAAAATTCTTTTGATTCTGCACAGAGTTGAGAATTATTTTTTATAATTTTTTACAGATGGAGAAATTCTTTCTTCTTTTCTTTGGTATTCTGTATACCTGCCATGGCAGTTATGATGTATTTCATGGGATTGAGAATGACCAGAGGAAAAATGGACATGTGCTGTGTAGTACCCGGTCTGTCTGCTGAAAATCTTTTTCTGTTTCTTCTTGCTACACCCGTGCAGGTAAATATTTCTGACGTTAAGTGTTCAAGCATTATATCGTTTTAAATTAATAGCATAACTCTTGCTTTTATTTCTTTAGTTTATTGGTGGAAGATATTTTTACATTCAGGCGTACCGTGCGCTGAGGCACAGAATGGCAAATATGGACGTTCTTATCATGTTGGCAACAAATATTGCTTACTTCTACAGTATTAGCGTGTTAATATATTTTATGGTTACTAATTCGAGTTACAGCCCTAAAACATTTTTTGAAACCCCACCCATGCTCTTGGTATTCATTTCTCTTGGCAGGTGGTTGGAACACATTGCAAAGGTAGCTTTTATATTTATTTTTAATTATAATCTTTCATATAAAAATGAGTATAATTATGTAATCATTTCTATGTTAAAGTTTGTGTATTTACAAAATGTATGCTAAAAGTTCAATTTATTTTTGACGCCACCTCATGCATATAATATATATTCACATAAAACAATTTAAATATTATCCTGTTTTAATGACAAGATGTATTTTCAAGAAAATTATAAATAGAACAAGCAGTTATTTATTACGACATCATCACAATGCCGGGCTGCAATTTTTAATCAATCATATTTTTAATTTATTTAATTTAAAATATATGCTCTCCACCTCAAATTAGTACTGTAATGTCGTCCTGTATATCATACTTTACTGTTAGCAGTAGAGTTGTGCCAGGTCATCTGTGTAACTCCTTATGGGGGAATTTTTGAATTGAAATAATGCGACTTTCAATTTATATTGGAAGTCACGTTATTTCAGTTAATCTGAGGCCTCCTGTCCCTAAGCTTTTCGTATCTGGTCTTGAATTTCATTTACCTAACGCCGTTCTCAAGATTAAGGAAAGACAGATAGATGATAGTGGGGATTTATAGGTCTAGAATTTTTTCAAATTGCAGCCCAAAAAAAATGAACATCATGTATTCCTTAAACAACATTTTCAATATTGTTTAAGTATTACAAAGTATTTTCAACAATTTTCTATTTGTTTAAAGAATACAGCATCCAAAAATTATCAATTATTGCATATATGAGATATCAAAAAGATCTGAACTGGTTTGTGTGTGAACTTATTATCTTCAAAATAGTAATTGTTTTAAAAAAATGTTTTTCCATTCAATCTTAATATTTACAAATTGCAGGGAAAAACTTCAGAGGCATTGGCAAAACTAATGTCACTCCAGGCGACCGAGGCAACGCTTGTCAAATTAAACGATGTCGAACAGGTAGTCCACGAAACGCAGATAGATGTAGAATTAATACAGAGAGGAGATATTTTAAAGGTAAAGTTACAAAGTATTTTAATTTTTTCTGATTTGTACAATGTATTATGTGCATAACTTTTACATATATGAAATGAAGTATGTTAGAAATAAAAGATTTTAAAAATTTCTTTTTATTCAGTCCACATTTAGAGCCTTTAATATATATTCATTTCTTCAGAAATTTTGTCTAAATGTAGAACTGTTCAAAGTTATATATTCAATACTTACTTTTTTATATTGAACTTTTTGCCATAATAAGTGCTATATTTTTTCTCTCAAATATTCTGTTTCTATATAGTTTTTAATATGTATTAGTTATTAGTTTTTGTAGTAATTTTTGTAGAATTGCTTGAGTTATCTAGAGATTTTTATTTGTTGTTTATTATAAAAATATAAAGTAATAAATTTCAAAGTACTTTAATTTTGTTCTAAATGTAATAAAATCTAAAAGTTTTCCAAATTACAAAATGGAATTATGACACTACGAATTAAGTTATAGTAAGATCTTAGTTATCCAGGATTGCATTACTGGAATGCCAAAAACATGCATGAATACAGCAGTGTATTATAGCTTCATGGGGCCCTGGCAGATTTGAATTAGGGAGCCCCCACATACAGTGTTGATTTCAGACATTTGTCTTTGGGAAATATTTTCTTATAAAAGATTTATTCGAGGCCCCCATTGGTGGAAGCTCCAGGTAATTGCCCTTTTTTGCCCGTAGGATAACCTGCCACTGCATGGATGAGTCATTAAGCACCACAAATTGTTTTATGACTCATTTGCTTTTCAGGCATACTTTGGTAAGGGAATGGTATACTTTGCTGATGTGCCCAGTTTGTTTTAAGTAGCCCTGTTAAGTAGTTGTATGCATTGTTCTCTTCACTCTTCACATTTCTTAGGAAATTTATCTGTTCTGTTTACTGGGTACAGAATTTAAACAATACCAGTTAACTATGATGACATCTTTTACATTTATCCTAGCTAATAGTGTACCATAATGTTCGACATCTAAAACATTACTCAAAATTTACATAAGTCGTTACCATTAGGTTGTGATTACTCTAGGTTTATGTAATTGTCACATTGGTCACTTAAGTGTTAAATTAGGCAGTAGTAGTAAGTTAAAGTGAGCTTTAACTTTAACTTTGCATATTAAACTGTCTTCTGCTTCAATGATTTTTTTCAAATTTTATACAAGTTATTTGTTTTCCATTATAATAACTGATAAGTTTATCAAGTTACATAATTGTGATTATAACAATCTGACAATGTGATAGTTTGAAAGTTTGTTGATCCCAATTGGTTCAATATCCTTCTGTCTGACTTAATATTCTAACAAAAATAGAGAGATTTCAATTTTCTATCAAAATATTGAATGGTATAATTGATGAAAAAACAGAAGTTTAGACCTCAATTTGATGTCTAAATTTCTACTGTTTGATCATTATTAAATATAAAATTAGCTAAAAAATAAATAACATTTAACGTAGGTGGTGCCAGGTGCAAAGATTCCCGTGGACGGTCGTGTGGTGTCGGGAACCTCCATGGCCGACGAGTCTCTCATCACTGGCGAGAGTCTTCCTGTCCCGAAACGCCCCGGCTCTCAGGTCATAGGCGGCTCGATCAATCAGAACGGACTGCTACTGATTTCAGCCACCCACATTGGTAAAGACACCACTCTGGCTCAGATTGTCAAACTGGTAGAAGAAGCTCAAACGTCAAAGGTATTTTTTATATTTATTCACATTAAATATAATTACATTTATCTTGTAAAGATTGTGTACTCACAATCTTGTTAAACCATGAATGACTCATTGTTCGATGAGTTCAAATGATCATTTGGGTAAATTTTGAATAGTATTTATTACCTGCAGCTTCTGTTACTGTATTTTACTATAAGGTGCAGGTGCACTTAAATTTTCAAAATTTGACCTTTAACCTATAACAGTGGAGGTTGTATTTGTCTTCAAACTTGTGGTTGAAGAAACACTTTGAAATTTTGCAATTAGGCATGCATACATGCATAGAAGAAAGACATTGGCTGTACACAAAGTGTTTAGCTGGCAGAAAATAGGGTAAGGGGAAGGAGGAGGGAGAGGAGATAGACAGTAGAGAAAAGCAGGATCCCTCTGAATGGCATACATAAGGCTACGGTACTCTCTGTGTTTGATGTTGGAGTGCAGTTTTTAGGCTGAAGGGTCTGAAAGAAAACCTGAGTGTATCAAAACCAATAATTGAGTGCTGCCACGAATAGCGAAGTGTAGAAGTTAGTAGTAAGTTTAGGCAGCTACAGCTCAGTGCTGTCATCTAATAACCAAAGCATTCTTCCATTTGTACATATTTCCATTGCTAGATGCTAGGTGAATTGTGGTTCTAAAATGTTCAAAAAGACTGTTCTAAACAGCTTTAGAAGGAATATGTTGTTTTAATTTTTCTGTTTGTTACATGAAATTATTCATGTAATGTTTCAGTCCTTTATTTATATGCTATAATTTATTCACCTGTATAGTAAGTACAAGTGTAAGAAACCTTGTAGCTGAGTTCACAGACATAATAGCGAAATTGTGGCTGAAGTTTTCATCTCTAAAACTTGAACATTGAGCATCACTATCTTGTAAGCAGCATTTGACATTCACATTTTACAATCTTGCTAATGTGTGTAATAAATGCATTGTAATTGTACACTTCTAGTGTTTATTGATAGTACCATACTTCTGCTGAGAACATCTAAAATATTCTAGTGTACATAAATAATTTAAGTATATGTTTTCCTTTAATATTTTAAGCTCTAAGATTTTCAACATTTACATAAAATGTCCTCCTTGGGAGGTGATTTTAGAATGACTGATGCGTGTCAAATGTCAAAACTCTACTGAAGAAACAACACAGAAACCTTTGTTTACTATTACTATTAGGTACACTAACCAAGGTCATTTATATATTTTAGATTATTGTACAATTCATTAAAACATGAAGAAAATAATCTAAAATACAAGATTTTAGTGAGTAACAGACAAAGTTTTTGATGAAAAAAGTGCAATCACAAATAAAATAGAATGGCTTTAGAAAATCAAACATTCTATGTACTGTACAGTACATATTATGTATATATACAAATAGCTTATATTTTAGTAAAATTTAAATTACGAAACAAATTAATATTTTTTCTGTGCAAATCTAAATTAATTGTATTTATTGCGTGTTTGTTTAGGCTCCAATACAACATCTTGCAGACAAAATAGCAGGCTATTTTGTTCCAGGAGTCGTTTTCGTTTCAGTGCTGACGTTACTGGGTTGGATAATCGTCGGATATCACTACATCGGAGTAATAAAATCGTATCATATGACTCACGTAAGTGTTTAACAAATTTCTGCCTTTAAAATATTTTAAATTGAAAACAAGTATTCAGTTTATGTAAAGTCTTTGGTTTTGAAAAAAAGAACAAAATGGAAAGCTTGTTTTTCATTTTAAACATGAATTTAATTATTGATGTAAGTTATTACAAGACTGTAATCTGGAGATTGATTATTTTAAACTTTCTGTGTAAATTGTCTTTAATTTTTGAATTTACCAGTATATGTATGATACATACAGTTTTATTAATGAAAATCAAGCTTTGTAACGTTAGATATACGGATTACCTTGGTTAACATGGGGATATAATGCTTAAAGGTAATACAGGACTTGTAGTGATTCTTTGGGAACATATGAATCAAGGACTGGCTGTCATTGCTTCACTTTTGAATCCTATTTGGCTTTGTCATCAATTAGTACATAACAAACAGTTGTATTTTCTCTATATCTTGCTATTTTTCTACTCATTTACGACACTATGATCCTTAAAAATATCTAGCAAAAAATATTTGGATTTTTGCAGAGATTTCTTACAAGATTTGCTGCTGTAGATAACTGGTATATTTTATCTATCAATTTTTCATTTCTGCACTTTGATTTAGAAAATCTGTTGTAATATGAAGAAGTATAGAATAGATACTACTAAAAAATACTAACTATTGATGAACATAATTTTGTATGGATGGTTTGCACATTTTGCATGCAAAACAGATTATTTCTTTCTTGCAATGCAATGACAAGCAGACATTCAGATTTATGCAAATAAAATATTTTTTCAATTATTAAAACCAATGGGATCGGTGGTAATATTAACACACTAAAAATAAAATTTTTTATTTTTAGTGTGTTAATATAACTAAAAATTTTTTTAGTTAAAAACAAGTAAAAATTATACTCTTTCTATTTCCGACTTCGAGGATTCTATGAGCCCAAACAAGTAGCAAGGAACAATCATTATTTTATTAATTTTATTCATATGCATTTCGCCATCTAGGCCTCCTCAGTGGATACATCAGGATGTTATTCGTTGGTTACGTTTTATACTCAACAGCCGTTCCCAGCATGCATCAACAATCGTTCCAGCATTCAAATTAAGTAAATTTACATGTTCGGCGATACAGAAATGTTCTACAATTTTTCTTTCTAAGTTATTTTCTATTCTATACAAAATTTTAGTATTTTTTATATTTATATTACAATTAAATTTTCTGCAATGTAAAAACCATGCTGATTCCGTTCTTCTCAGTCTAATGGCTGCCTCATGTTCCTTTACTCTCAACTCCAATCTTCTTCCGGTTTCTCCAATGTAATAATTTGGGCTTCCACATGTACATGACATCCTATATACGACACCGGCGATTTTAAATTGGTCTCTGGGCGAATTTTCACTGTTTATTATGCTGATAATGTTTGACATCTTATTCTTTTGGCTCGCAACTATGCATACAGAAAATTTTTTAAATATTGGTTTATATTTTTCAAAAACTTTAGTAACATAAGGAAACTTTACATAAGAAATATCTTCTATGCTGTTTTTAACATTAAATCTACGTTTTAAATATAAATTGTACCACTTACAGAGAATATGCTTCGGATAATCATTTAACTGAAATTTTTTAAACAATTGTTTTACTTCGATGTCTATGTTTTCTTGCTGAGTTGTTCGATTTAGTATCTTTCTCAATTCCATATTAAAGACATTCTTTTTATTTTCTAAAGGACAGTAAGATTTAAAGTTAATAGTTTTACCATTATTACATAGTTTTTCATACTTACTAAATGATACACTTGTTTCTTCTCTTTTTATGGTGACATCTAAGAAATTCATTTTATTTTGTTGTTCATCTTCACTTGTAAACTTTAAATTTTTATGTAATCTATTTGCATATTCCTCAATGTGTTTGGATGAAACTATTTGAGAATCATAAACTATTATTATGTCATCTACATATCTTGCATAATATTTAATACCTGTTAGACTTGAAATTCTTTCATCTATTTTATTCATATAGTTATCAGCCAATTTTGGTCCTATAACCGATCCCATGGCAATACCTTTCTTCTGCCTATAATACTCTGTAGAAATTTTGAAGTAATTATTATTAAATACAAAATATTTATTAAATACAAAATATTTTTTCTTTTGGTGTAAAACTATTTCTTGCAGTTCAATTATGAACTTTTATACTCTCTATTGACATGAGCAAAAAATGCAGGATGTTTAGAAAAACTTGTCTATTAGAAAGAATGCATTTTATTTATAGAAAGTTTTATTGAAAAAGCAATGCATTGTATTAACAAATAAATTAGTTCTTAAATCTAGTGTTAATGAAGTTTTAATGCAGTGTGATCCATATTTGGTTGTATAGTACCTCATTCCTATAAACCTCTGATAAATGGGGAGAAGCTTATTTGTTATTTCTTATGATAAAAATCTGTATCTTGTTCCAACATATCCCAATTGTGTTTTCCAGACATTGGTTGATTAGATCTGCAATGATAGAAGTGAATATGACATTCACAAAACTTACATGTTTGCTACTTTTATCAGTCATTCCTTTAAGTAATAATTCGTTATGGCAATAAGTAAGCAGAAAACAAGTAAAGTGGAGTAAGATAAGATTGAATTCTTTATGGGGGAACTGCAATATTAATGTGTAATAGCCTTTATAAGTCAAACTCGGTCAGTTGTAACTGGATTTTTTGAGTGACCAAATAGACCTCACAAGCACATAGTTTGGTTTATAGAGGATATTACACACAATAAGATTGATTGTTTTTTATTAATTGAAAAGTTAGCATTGTTCTGTGAATGAAACAAAAATAGATGATTGCTTTTATAACCCTTCCCCATTTACAAGATAGAATGAACACTGACCAATGTTTATGTGAAAATATTGAGGACTGGAACCTAGGAACCAACTTGTACCAAAATTCTCACAGATAGAGGTTATGCCATTATTAATTCTCTGAAGAATGCAAGGAACTCCTGTGATGACGAGAATAAACATATTTGTAGAAGAACGGGTCTGCTCTCTGGCCATACTTCTATTGCTTGTGGGTACTTCAGAAGCAAACAGCGAGCATCCCAATCTGTCTCCCAAAATGATTAACTTATTCCTGAGTGAACAGAAAAATAATGTATATGTAATATTATTTTAAAAATATTTTCTCGTTTGTATTTCTTACAGAAAGACGGAATGCCCGAGTCAGAAATCATCCTGCAGTTTGCATTCCAGTGTGCCCTCACCGTCCTGTCCATCGCCTGTCCGTGCTCTCTCGGACTGGCCACCCCTTATAGCTTGTTAAATGAACTTATTTGTTTAATTCTATGAATTTTTTATATTGATATATAATTTTTAAATTTTTGCTTGGATTTTTCATTGTGNAAATCTAAAAGTTTTCCAAATTACAAAATGGAATTATGACACTACGAATTAAGTTATAGTAAGATCTTAGTTATCCAGGATTGCATTACTGGAATGCCAAAAACATGCATGAATACAGCAGTGTATTATAGCTTCATGGGGCCCTGGCAGATTTGAATTAGGGAGCCCCCACATACAGTGTTGATTTCAGACATTTGTCTTTGGGAAATATTTTCTTATAAAAGATTTATTCGAGGCCCCCATTGGTGGAAGCTCCAGGTAATTGCCCTTTTTTGCCCGTAGGATAACCTGCCACTGCATGGATGAGTCATTAAGCACCACAAATTGTTTTATGACTCATTTGCTTTTCAGGCATACTTTGGTAAGGGAATGGTATACTTTGCTGATGTGCCCAGTTTGTTTTAAGTAGCCCTGTTAAGTAGTTGTATGCATTGTTCTCTTCACTCTTCACATTTCTTAGGAAATTTATCTGTTCTGTTTACTGGGTACAGAATTTAAACAATACCAGTTAACTATGATGACATCTTTTACATTTATCCTAGCTAATAGTGTACCATAATGTTCGACATCTAAAACATTACTCAAAATTTACATAAGTCGTTACCATTAGGTTGTGATTACTCTAGGTTTATGTAATTGTCACATTGGTCACTTAAGTGTTAAATTAGGCAGTAGTAGTAAGTTAAAGTGAGCTTTAACTTTAACTTTGCATATTAAACTGTCTTCTGCTTCAATGATTTTTTTCAAATTTTATACAAGTTATTTGTTTTCCATTATAATAACTGATAAGTTTATCAAGTTACATAATTGTGATTATAACAATCTGACAATGTGATAGTTTGAAAGTTTGTTGATCCCAATTGGTTCAATATCCTTCTGTCTGACTTAATATTCTAACAAAAATAGAGAGATTTCAATTTTCTATCAAAATATTGAATGGTATAATTGATGAAAAAACAGAAGTTTAGACCTCAATTTGATGTCTAAATTTCTACTGTTTGATCATTATTAAATATAAAATTAGCTAAAAAATAAATAACATTTAACGTAGGTGGTGCCAGGTGCAAAGATTCCCGTGGACGGTCGTGTGGTGTCGGGAACCTCCATGGCCGACGAGTCTCTCATCACTGGCGAGAGTCTTCCTGTCCCGAAACGCCCCGGCTCTCAGGTCATAGGCGGCTCGATCAATCAGAACGGACTGCTACTGATTTCAGCCACCCACATTGGTAAAGACACCACTCTGGCTCAGATTGTCAAACTGGTAGAAGAAGCTCAAACGTCAAAGGTATTTTTTATATTTATTCACATTAAATATAATTACATTTATCTTGTAAAGATTGTGTACTCACAATCTTGTTAAACCATGAATGACTCATTGTTCGATGAGTTCAAATGATCATTTGGGTAAATTTTGAATAGTATTTATTACCTGCAGCTTCTGTTACTGTATTTTACTATAAGGTGCAGGTGCACTTAAATTTTCAAAATTTGACCTTTAACCTATAACAGTGGAGGTTGTATTTGTCTTCAAACTTGTGGTTGAAGAAACACTTTGAAATTTTGCAATTAGGCATGCATACATGCATAGAAGAAAGACATTGGCTGTACACAAAGTGTTTAGCTGGCAGAAAATAGGGTAAGGGGAAGGAGGAGGGAGAGGAGATAGACAGTAGAGAAAAGCAGGATCCCTCTGAATGGCATACATAAGGCTACGGTACTCTCTGTGTTTGATGTTGGAGTGCAGTTTTTAGGCTGAAGGGTCTGAAAGAAAACCTGAGTGTATCAAAACCAATAATTGAGTGCTGCCACGAATAGCGAAGTGTAGAAGTTAGTAGTAAGTTTAGGCAGCTACAGCTCAGTGCTGTCATCTAATAACCAAAGCATTCTTCCATTTGTACATATTTCCATTGCTAGATGCTAGGTGAATTGTGGTTCTAAAATGTTCAAAAAGACTGTTCTAAACAGCTTTAGAAGGAATATGTTGTTTTAATTTTTCTGTTTGTTACATGAAATTATTCATGTAATGTTTCAGTCCTTTATTTATATGCTATAATTTATTCACCTGTATAGTAAGTACAAGTGTAAGAAACCTTGTAGCTGAGTTCACAGACATAATAGCGAAATTGTGGCTGAAGTTTTCATCTCTAAAACTTGAACATTGAGCATCACTATCTTGTAAGCAGCATTTGACATTCACATTTTACAATCTTGCTAATGTGTGTAATAAATGCATTGTAATTGTACACTTCTAGTGTTTATTGATAGTACCATACTTCTGCTGAGAACATCTAAAATATTCTAGTGTACATAAATAATTTAAGTATATGTTTTCCTTTAATATTTTAAGCTCTAAGATTTTCAACATTTACATAAAATGTCCTCCTTGGGAGGTGATTTTAGAATGACTGATGCGTGTCAAATGTCAAAACTCTACTGAAGAAACAACACAGAAACCTTTGTTTACTATTACTATTAGGTACACTAACCAAGGTCATTTATATATTTTAGATTATTGTACAATTCATTAAAACATGAAGAAAATAATCTAAAATACAAGATTTTAGTGAGTAACAGACAAAGTTTTTGATGAAAAAAGTGCAATCACAAATAAAATAGAATGGCTTTAGAAAATCAAACATTCTATGTACTGTACAGTACATATTATGTATATATACAAATAGCTTATATTTTAGTAAAATTTAAATTACGAAACAAATTAATATTTTTTCTGTGCAAATCTAAATTAATTGTATTTATTGCGTGTTTGTTTAGGCTCCAATACAACATCTTGCAGACAAAATAGCAGGCTATTTTGTTCCAGGAGTCGTTTTCGTTTCAGTGCTGACGTTACTGGGTTGGATAATCGTCGGATATCACTACATCGGAGTAATAAAATCGTATCATATGACTCACGTAAGTGTTTAACAAATTTCTGCCTTTAAAATATTTTAAATTGAAAACAAGTATTCAGTTTATGTAAAGTCTTTGGTTTTGAAAAAAAGAACAAAATGGAAAGCTTGTTTTTCATTTTAAACATGAATTTAATTATTGATGTAAGTTATTACAAGACTGTAATCTGGAGATTGATTATTTTAAACTTTCTGTGTAAATTGTCTTTAATTTTTGAATTTACCAGTATATGTATGATACATACAGTTTTATTAATGAAAATCAAGCTTTGTAACGTTAGATATACGGATTACCTTGGTTAACATGGGGATATAATGCTTAAAGGTAATACAGGACTTGTAGTGATTCTTTGGGAACATATGAATCAAGGACTGCCTGTCATTGCTTCACTTTTGAATCCTATTTGGCTTTGTCATCAATTAGTACATAACAAACAGTTGTATTTTCTCTATATCTTGCTATTTTTCTACTCATTTACGACACTATGATCCTTAAAAATATCTAGCAAAAAATATTTGGATTTTTGCAGAGATTTCTTACAAGATTTGCTGCTGTAGATAACTGGTATATTTTATCTATCAATTTTTCATTTCTGCACTTTGATTTAGAAAATCTGTTGTAATATGAAGAAGTATAGAATAGATACTACTAAAAAATACTAACTATTGATGAACATAATTTTGTATGGATGGTTTGCACATTTTGCATGCAAAACAGATTATTTCTTTCTTGCAATGCAATGACAAGCAGACATTCAGATTTATGCAAATAAAATATTTTTTCAATTATTAAAACCAATGGGATCGGTGGTAATATTAACACACTAAAAATAAAATTTTTTATTTTTAGTGTGTTAATATAACTAAAAATTTTTTTAGTTAAAAACAAGTAAAAATTATACTCTTTCTATTTCCGACTTCGAGGATTCTATGAGCCAAAACAAGACAAACAAGTAGCAAGGAACAATCATTATTTTATTAATTTTATCCATATGCATTTCGCCATCTAGGCCTCCTCAGTGGATACATCAGGATGTTATTCGTTGGTTACGTTTTATACCCAACAGCCGTTCCCAGCATGCATCAACAATCATTCCAGCATTCAAATTAAGTAAATTTACATGTTCGGCGATACAGAAATGTTCTACAATTTTTCTTTCTAAGTTATTTTCTATTCTATACAAAATTTTAGTATTTTTTATATTTATATTACAATTAAATTTTCTGCAATGTAAAAACCATGCTGATTCCGTTCTTCTCAGTCTAATGGCTGCCTCATGTTCCTTTACTCTCAACTCCAATCTTCTTCCGGTTTCTCCAATGTAATAATTTGGGCTTCCACATGTACATGACATCCTATATACGACACCGGCGATTTTAAATTGGTCTCTGGGCGAATTTTCACTGTTTATTATGCTGATAATGTTTGACATCTTATTCTTTTGGCTCGCAACTATGCATACAGAAAATTTTTTAAATATTGGTTTATATTTTTCAAAAACTTTAGTAACATAAGGAAACTTTACATAAGAAATATCTTCTATGCTGTTTTTAACATTAAATCTACGTTTTAAATATAAATTGTACCACTTACAGAGAATATGCTTCGGATAATCATTTAACTGAAATTTTTTAAACAATTGTTTTACTTCGATGTCTATGTTTTCTTGCTGAGTTGTTCGATTTAGTATCTTTCTCAATTCCATATTAAAGACATTCTTTTTATTTTCTAAAGGACAGTAAGATTTAAAGTTAATAGTTTTACCATTATTACATAGTTTTTCATACTTACTAAATGATACACTTGTTTCTTCTCTTTTTATGGTGACATCTAAGAAATTCATTTTATTTTGTTGTTCATCTTCACTTGTAAACTTTAAATTTTTATGTAATCTATTTGCATATTCCTCAATGTGTTTGGATGAAACTATTTGAGAATCATAAACTATTATTATGTCATCTACATATCTTGCATAATATTTAATACCTGTTAGACTTGAAATTCTTTCATCTATTTTATTCATATAGTTATCAGCCAATTTTGGTCCTATAACCGATCCCATGGCAATACCTTTCTTCTGCCTATAATACTCTGTAGAAATTTTGAAGTAATTATTATTAAATACAAAATATTTATTAAATACAAAATATTTTTTCTTTTGGTGTAAAACTATTTCTTGCAGTTCAATTATGAACTTTTATACTCTCTATTGACATGAGCAAAAAATGCAGGATGTTTAGAAAAACTTGTCTATTAGAAAGAATGCATTTTATTTATAGAAAGTTTTATTGAAAAAGCAATGCATTGTATTAACAAATAAATTAGTTCTTAAATCTAGTGTTAATGAAGTTTTAATGCAGTGTGATCCATATTTGGTTGTATAGTACCTCATTCCTATAAACCTCTGATAAATGGGGAGAAGCTTATTTGTTATTTCTTATGATAAAAATCTGTATCTTGTTCCAACATATCCCAATTGTGTTTTCCAGACATTGGTTGATTAGATCTGCAATGATAGAAGTGAATATGACATTCACAAAACTTACATGTTTGCTACTTTTATCAGTCATTCCTTTAAGTAATAATTCGTTATGGCAATAAGTAAGCAGAAAACAAGTAAAGTGGAGTAAGATAAGATTGAATTCTTTATGGGGGAACTGCAATATTAATGTGTAATAGCCTTTATAAGTCAAACTCGGTCAGTTGTAACTGGATTTTTTGAGTGACCAAATAGACCTCACAAGCACATAGTTTGGTTTATAGAGGATATTACACACAATAAGATTGATTGTTTTTTATTAATTGAAAAGTTAGCATTGTTCTGTGAATGAAACAAAAATAGATGATTGCTTTTATAACCCTTCCCCATTTACAAGATAGAATGAACACTGACCAATGTTTATGTGAAAATATTGAGGACTGGAACCTAGGAACCAACTTGTACCAAAATTCTCACAGATAGAGGTTATGCCATTATTAATTCTCTGAAGAATGCAAGGAACTCCTGTGATGACGAGAATAAACATATTTGTAGAAGAACGGGTCTGCTCTCTGGCCATACTTCTATTGCTTGTGGGTACTTCAGAAGCAAACAGCGAGCATCCCAATCTGTCTCCCAAAATGATTAACTTATTCCTGAGTGAACAGAAAAATAATGTATATGTAATATTATTTTAAAAATATTTTCTCGTTTGTATTTCTTACAGAAAGACGGAATGCCCGAGTCAGAAATCATCCTGCAGTTTGCATTCCAGTGTGCCCTCACCGTCCTGTCCATCGCCTGTCCGTGCTCTCTCGGACTGGCCACCCCCACCGCCGTCATGGTTGGAACCGGAGTCGGAGCCCTGAACGGAATCCTCATCAAGGGAGCTGAACCTCTAGAAACTGCCCACCGGGTAAGTTAAAAATAAACTTGCAAATCCAAGAAAAACTTTACTCTGCTTCATTTATCTGCCGTTTATTTTCAGGTGAAGTGTGTCATATTTGACAAGACGGGAACAATAACACGAGGAATTCCTGTGATGACGAGAATAAACATATTCGTAGAAGAACGGGTATGCTCTCTGGCCAAACTTCTATCTCTCGTGGGTACTGCGGAAGCCAACAGTGAGCACCCCATTGCAGTCGCAATTACAAAATTTGTCAAAGAGGTAATTTTAACATTATATAGAAAAGTTATTAAAATTTGTCATTTCTTATCTTCTCCATATGTTCTTTTACTTCAGTTCTTCATTCTGTAAAGAGATAATTTGATTTGATATGGAAATGGTTCGTAGAATAACAATATAAATGTAGGTATTTTAATAGTTTATGCAACGAAAGGTTTTAACACAAACATAACTTTGTTGTGACAAAAATAACATGCATGAATTAAATTAGAGTTTGCTCTGTTTTTTAACTAATGCAGTTATTGATTTTGAAAAAGATTAATTTTTGACTAAACTTTTGGTGCAGATTTATTATACAACACACACATTCTTACCTTTAAAGTAAACGCCTCCTGCACCTAAACCACTTGTCAAAGCAGTTCTATGAGCCATTTTTTTCTGATGTAGCAATAAAATCCATAAAATATATCTGTTAACTGCAAATTAGGTGGAATGATGTCGGCCTTGCATTCAACACAATATACAGTATGGATTTGTGTTATATGACAATTATATGTTGGTAGATATTGCATTTAAAATTCTATGAAAATGCTTGCGATTACTTGGGACAGAGCACAATTATTTACAGTTAATGGAAAAATGTTTAAAAATTAGTGAATGAATGAAAAATTTTGTTTTGGTTCCAAATTTTTAACAGGATACTAATATTTGTGTGAGATAACAGATTAAAATTTATAATCTAAGAACTTAGCAGTTAAAATATGAATAATTTTAAAATGTCAGAAACAAGTGGAATATTTTAGGCAGAGCATTAGTGAAACCTCTTCTGTGGGACTTACAGAATTACATTTGATTCTGATTAAATTCTGCTATTTTCCATTAATTGCAGTGAGGGGTCAGAGACAGTGTCCATATTCCTTGACGTGACAAAAATAAAAAGCAGCATTGAGCTCTAAAGACTAACAAAAGCAATTGGCATTGATTGCTTTGTTCTCAGATCATTTCCATTCCTAGCTAGTGCAGGAATCGCCTACTTCTTTCCGTCTCCATCTTGATTCTATTGCAAAATCCTAATAAATGCTTTCTTAGATTGTACGAAATTTAAAATTTACTGTGTGCACAATTGGTCTAATAAAATTTTAAGAATTTCAGACCTGTTCTAAAAACCCCTAAAACAATGCATGGCACTTTAACATATTTTTATATTTCAATTTAACAAAACATTTTTTTTGCCTATTTTCATTTTTCCTAAAGACAGACTTTTGGAAAAACATCACAAAAATGATTCTGCACCTAATTAGCATTCTACTCTATGCTGGAGTTAGCAGTTATTGGTAATAAATATAAACCCAAGATGTAATGATCCTTAATTTTATAAATAATTTATCCTGGTGGATCTGATAAGCCAATTACCACTTTATTTAAAAATAATCCTTTGAATGGTTTTGATTAGTATACTTCATACATTTGTCTTTTGCTTGCAATATTGATGATCAATAATAATTGTTTGTTTAATTTTAAAATTCTTATTTACTTCAAATGGAATTAAATATTTGAACAGACTCTGAGGATAGACGCTTTTGGAAAATGCGAAGAGTTTTCTGCAGTGCCGGGTTGCGGCCTCCGGTGCAAGATATCAAACGTGGAGCACATGCTGAAGGCTGCCGAGGAAGCTGAGTGCCTGGCCAATGCAAAAAATAACTCTAAGACAAGAGCCAAAAATGCCTCTGGAGGAATGATCATCGGAGACGTGGTGGTGGAGTGCGGAAGTGCCGACGGTCCCCGCCAGAACGCCGCAAATCTGGCCAATTCGCTCCTAGAAACCTTGGGAGAAACAAGTAAGATAAAATAATAATTTTGAAACTTATTAAAAATTCGAGTGTTGTTTTGACACGTTGTAATCACAGAAAATGGCAACAATGACAACAGAACGTATCAAGTGTTGATTGGTAACAGAGAATGGATGAACAGAAATGGTTTAGACGTCAGTGAAGAAATCAATGCTGTCATGACAGATCAAGAGGAGAAAGGACAGACTGCTGTTCTGTGTGCCATCGATGGTAATTTTTTTAAAATTAAAATTAAGTGGTCTTTCCTAAAATTCTTAAATGAATACACATTACAATGAAAATGCTTGTTTTATCTTATAAATGTATATTCTGTCCTGTGCACATGAATACATTATGTGTTTTAGCATAGAAGGAAAATGGATTATATAGTTATAAACAAATACTACAAATACGATCTAAGGTAACTTTTTGCATTCTGTATTACTGAACAGAAACAGAAATTCATTGGCGAAGAAGTGTTACTATTATTCTTTAACAATGTGCAGAATGTATATATATTTTTATCATAGGTTTTAGTCCAGCAAATTGTATGTTAAAAACAAGACAACTTCTAACAGTGACATTATTAACAGTCAGAATTTTAACTAGCTTGTTTTGTTAGTGGGAGGAATTCAGTTCAGCACTACAATATAACTAGACTTTCTTCAATACTGAACATGGCTTTGGATTTTTATAGTTTGCTACACTATATTGTGAAATTCTAAAATGAGTTCACTAACTACACTTTCACAGGACTATTCTTTGTGTCATTATGAATAGAAACTCAACTTACCAATGATGTTATTTCTCAACCAGAAACTAAAAAATGTGGAAGAAGTAGAATCTGAAGTCAACATTTTCTATTAAATTTAATAGCTATATGTAAGTTGCTTTATTGAAATGCTTGCTTTCCATCAATGTTGTCAAGATTGAAAGGCAGTTAACAAAGATTTTTCTCAAGTAATTACTAAAATGCTAGATATTTGTCTATGCGTGACAGCTAAAAGTTCTTTCAATAATTAAAATGCCAAATTAGTACAGTTGTCATCATTTCGGATTCCCATTTCTTGAAAGTGAAAAATTTTGAAACTAATAAATTTTACTAGTTTTCTTGAAACATTACTAATAGAAAAGGCTGAATAAAAGTATGGTTTCTATATATAATTGTTTATTTTTGTAGGAGTTCTGATATGCATGATGGCAGTGGCAGACACGGTTAAACCAGAAGCTCACTTGGCGGTGTACACTTTAAAGAAAATGGGATTGGATGTCATTTTGCTGACCGGAGATAATAAAAAGACTGCCGCTGCCATTGCGAGACAGGTGAGGTCACTTTAACATTCGTTTTGTTTGTGTTTGTGTCCTTAACGAGTAAAGATCTAAAGGCTGATGAAATTGCATTTGATAAGAAATGCCTCTGATGTATTTATATCACAGAGCATTTACAGTGAAGAAAAAAATTATTTTTATTTTAAATGTTTGGTTAATGTTACCTTAGGTTCCAAGATGGCGGCACATCCGGTCGCGAGACTGTGTGGAAAACGATGTTTTGGTCGGAGATCAGATGACTCCCAAACTATAATAAACACACTAATAAATTAAACAAATTATTACTCACATTAACACATCCTTTTTTTCTAGATCCAACATTATTGATTCATATTCACTTGTTGAATGCCTTTTCATCCCCTTGCTTATCGATTCTTCTACACTAGTAGACATTATTTTATTTGTCTTTGTATTCAAATTGGTTGCTGTCTCTTCCTTTTTCTTCTCTGTGTTCTTTAAAGAATGTCATGTTCAGCGATGCTGTAAGCATCACTAATTGTACTTGATTTGACCAATCACTTCTAGCCTACCTTGATTTAACAGCTGCAAAATCCAAATTTGTTGTGGTACATTCCAGACATAGATGGTGTTTTGACATTCATTTGGTACTAAGATATATTGACAAAACTTATCAGAATACATACTTTCACAGTAGCTACTACTTAGAAAACAGGTTTTTTTTGATTATTTCAATAGTGTAATTAATAGGTATTCACACATAGGAAGCACACTGATTCAATAGGTTATCTACCTAATTTTACAGCAATTTTAAAACCATTATCAACTTCATGTTCTAAACAAAATTTAAAAAAATGGGATTCCTTTTACAGGTTGAATTAACAGGAGGTAGACCTTACCAAATTTCATCAGAATTTATGTCTACAAAACTCTTCACAACATAATTAGGAAAAGTTATGACTATATTTTAAAATAAAGTATAAAGCCTATTGTTTACATACAGTATATTTACCAAATATTCAATTTTGTAGTAAAATATTGTAGAAACAACACAGATAGTACACTAAAAATGCAACAAGAGACTGTAGCAAACGACTCCCTATAAGTTAATTTGCATAATTACAAGCAAAACATCCAGCTACTATATCACATCAAATTTTATGTCATGTTCAACAGATTTTCATCACACTTTTTATCAGATACCGCCATCTTGGAACCTAAGGTAACATTAACGAAATGTTTGTTATTCAAGTAATACGTATCGTTTATTTTAGGTCGGAATCGGTAGGGTGTTTGCCGAAGTTCTACCGTCCCATAAGGTCATGAAAATTCAACAGCTTCAGGAACGTGGTCTAAAAGTGGCAATGATAGGAGACGGAGTGAATGACTCCCCGGCTCTGGCCCAGGCGGATGTCGGAATAGCCATTGCCAACGGCACAGACGTGGCGGTGGAGGCTGCCGATGTAGTACTAATAAGGGTTAGTGCAATTACTATATATCTTTTATTAGATTTCTGTCAATACTCACAAAATGAACTGAATCTGTAGTTATGCAAGTCAAATTTAATTGATGGACTTAAAAACTTACTGTATTGACATGCATATAAGATGATCTCACGTATAGGACGAGGTGTGACTTTAAAGATCAAAATAAAGAAAATTAGAATTGTATTAATACAATTCTAATTTTCTTTATTTTGATCGTTCATTTAATCACAAATAAAATATCAAATGCAAACATTGTCCTGCAAAAATTACTGGCAATTTGAACTTTAAGGAAAAATCTTGTAAAATCAACAACCTTTTTTGCAAATTCTGAACAGTTGATTTCACTTATGAGTTTCTTTGAATTCTGATTTCCCAATAATAATCTGTTTTCATGTGGGAGTGGATTAAAACTTTTATATATTGTGCTCCTGTGTGATTTTGGAATTGAATTCCAAAGCTTTGTTTTTAAACACCAGAGGATGAGCATCTGGTAAAAAAATGCAAAAATCCTTCACTCGTGCATATAGGACAACCTAGGTTTTTTAAGCAGTAAAAAATGAATAAAAACCTCATCTTATATGCGAGTAAATACGGTGGTTTGCTAGTGTAAGTATTGTCAGCACAGAATTTTTGATGATGGAAAAATTAGTTCTAAATGTTAACACTACCTATTAGTATTGTTAACATATTGAAAATCACTTTCATTTCTTTTGTATGTTTATTAGGCAATGTGTGACATGGCCTTCACCACAGGGTCTAATATAATGTAGCCAAGTAACAATGCCCACATCTGCAGAGTGCAGCATTTCTGGATTGATGGATGGATGATACCTCTTGAAAAATGGTATTTTTCAATTCCAACAATGTGGAAGGATTTGATCAAAACGGTTGGGAATTTGAAAGTCATTTTCAGATTGTGGGGATGTTTAATGTGATTTCTGTGTCACTACCACTTATTGATATTTTGGAATTAATTTTTTATCAACAAAATTCCCACCACACAAACCACATTCATAAAAAATGAAATGTTTAAAGATTAGTGGTGCATCTAAAATACAGGGTGGGCTAAAAACTTTAATTTTAATGGAGTCACAGAGTTTGTAATATTTACAAGTCCTCTGTAACACATCTTGCAAAAAGTATTTATTTCCTATTTGTCCCGATTAATGCTGTCCATTTTTAACATTTTACTATCTGATTTTATCCCCAGTAATTGGTTCTTTTCAGGAATAGCATTCATTTAACATAATAATACAGAAAATGGAAATTAGGATAGTGTATTCAAATACTTTTTATCTATTGCCTGAAGGTTAAAACCATTTCAACATTGGCATTTCGGCACATATTGGCTTTACTACTCACCATTCAGTTTTATCCAATTTTAAAAATATACACATGTCCAAAACTTGAGAACAAACACAATTAATAGTAGTGATAGCTAGAAAAAGTCATCAAGTCAGTTAGTGACAAGCCTGCAACAACAACACAAGTGTTGCATCACAGTTTCAGGTGGACATACTCATTACAAGCAAGTCTCACTGCTTGGGTATTGGAATGCACTTTCCATCCCTTCTCCATCTATGTCTAACTGCCATATGTATTTTTATTATTTTGATTTGTAGAATCCTTCAGGTTGTTGTATATTACACAGGGTAATATACATTTCTTGCCATATTTGTCTTCCTACATTTACAAATGTCATCCATCCTTAAGATTTGGACATGTGTGCAAAAAAAATTCTACTTATGTAGTGTACGTTGATATTACAAATATAAACAATCATCATCACTAAACCCCAACTATGGTATGTAGCTTTATAATATATCAAGTTACATTATAACCATAACATTATATATACTGGAAGAGGAGATTGGTCCAGAGGTCTAGGTAGCATTGTCTGCATGGTAAGCATGGAGGAGTCCCTCTCTGGGCTGATTCTTTTCTTCCAGTAGTTCTAAATTATTTGATTAAAAGATGGCACTAGAGTTAGGCACCAAATGATATTAGTAATACACACAACTCTGAAAGAATCTCAAGCTAAACTGAAGGAATAATCTAGAAGATCAAAATATATGTAGTTTATCTCAGTGCCTACCTAGACTATACTATCCTGAATGTGGATGATCCCTTTATCTTAGCAGATGACCTGTTCATCAATGGAACTGTAAAACTTGATAAATTGCTTGGATTAGCAAGAAATGCATGACACGTTAATGATCTTGGCATTATTTTCAACCTCTTTCTTTTGCAGAGGTGTATTTTGGTGCCATTTTCTTTTCAAACTTTCAATTGATAGTTGATTATTGCTTATTGTCCACTTCCAATGAAATATTATTGCCTGATTTATTTTGTTGCATTTTCTTCTTTGTGTTAGAAATAGATTCCATATCCATGTCTGCAATTCTAGATGCTCATTCGTTTACCATGTAAAGAGCACCTTAACTGGATAAATTTTTAAATATGCTGAAATTAACAATAAAAAAAAAGAAATATAAGATTAATAACTTTTTACAATGTCATGTTGTTGAGAGTCATCTCATTGTCTTATATTTTTTTTAGAACGATTTATTAGATGTGGTGGGAGCGATTGACCTCTCCAATCGAACTGTCAGGAGGATCAGATTAAATTTCCTTTTTGCCAGCGTGTATAACTTGATTGGAATACCAGTCGCTGCCGGTACGTATTTTTAATCTAATTAAAAATTTGAGTTTTCTGCTAATGTATTTTGTATTTGCTTTCAGGAGTGTTTTTACCATGGGGATTTGTTCTGAAACCCTGGATGGGATCAGCTGCCATGGCTGCATCTTCAGTCTCGGTAGTCTGTTCCTCCTTGCTTCTGAAACTGTGAGTAAATTGTGAAATTTCATTGATTGCTAATTAATAAGTTCACATTATTAAAACATTATTTCAGAACAGCAGGTATTTAAAAGTATTATATAGGTCAGGGGTAGAAATATCGTGGCATGTTGTATGAATGCATTTGTATTTTACCATAACAATTTCATTAAATCATTAATAAAAAAATAAAATTTGAAAAGGTTTGCCGCTCTTCCGTATGATTAGAAGTTTCATATTCACACAATTTGCAAAGCTAAATCCTTTTACAAACGACATTGTTTGTTAAATGTTGTAATGCACTCGTGAACAACCCATGGCCTCTGGGACTTAAATAAAAATTTACATACTCACATATGACACAAGCATACTGTCATTTGGCATTAAATTTATTGACAAATGAATACAATACTTTCAACATTTCATCCTCAAGTGAAGAAAGCTTTTAAAAATCATTACTTGAATTTTGCATATTCTATGTTAACTCTCACCAAATTGTGAGGAAGGATATGCAGAAAAGCAAAAAGGTGTACCAATAAACAATTATACGTGATACGAAACTGTTGTGTTTTTACAAATATGGTTAAATCAGTTGAAAATAGCTGTTTATTGGGACCCTGAAAAATGGTAGGACTATACTTTAATTTGTTTTCAGATTCAAAAAGACAAATTGAAAGGAAGAGGAGGACTCTTTTATGAATATTGGAGAGATTTTCAATCTATTTTGTCAGAAAGTATCAACCTTGTCTGTAATCAAGGAATACAACACACATGGCATCATTGCAAAGCACAGCACAAAAGTCAATATGATATCAAATGGAAAACAGAATACTTAGAATATTAAAATCTGAAGGTGGGTCTGCGTGTCAAGAAGCAACATAGCACAAACACCAGTCTCGCTTTGAATAACTATATAGTCGCAGGATTATTATTTCTAAGTGGACGGCCTCTTACCAATGCCAAGTTTATAAAAATATACTTACTTGGCAATTGCAATTATGCATGTCTCTATAAAATAAATGGTTTTTTCTTTGCAGCCAGTTCTGCTGTAGGGTTTTTGCCAACTGTGAATGAGAGCACCTACATTTCTGATATGGCACAGTATATATGCACATTTTGATATTTATGAAGAACACTCTGCTCTTTCAAGTCTTACTTCCAATACTAAAAATTGTTTGATGCACTTTCAAATGTCAGTTTGTCATCACGTTTCTTTGTTAGGACCCAACTGGAAGAAGCTAATAAATGTGATGACAAACTGACATTTGAAAGTGCATCAAACATTTTTTAGTATTGGAAGTAAGACTTGAAAGAGCAGTTCTTCCAGTTGGGTCCTAACAATCATCAGACTTTTGGCTTTATGTTCAACATCACGCAATGTAAATTTGATGGGTTTTGTTTTGTCTCTTTGACTTGTAGGTTCATCAAAACTTTTTAGGCCAGGATAATAATTGAATTAATTTGAAAACCACTTAGCTCTATGCAACTGTTTAATTTTAATTAATGAATATGAAAGTGTTTGGTGGAACATATATTTCTACATTCCAGTAAACTTAAAATGTTTTTTACTCACCACAGTAGTAAAAATGGGCATATCATTAGGAGATGACAAAACATTTCTTGCATAGTTTTAAGTAAAAGCAACCACTTTATGGTAATATTTATCAATATTTTCAATTTCAGATATAAGAAACCATCGCGCAAACGCCTGGAAACGTCAGAATATCAAGAGGTCTTGAGGAAAACGGAACTCCACCTGTTGGAAATGGACGACGTGTCTGTACATAGAGGACTGGACGACATCAAAATGCCCGAACCCACAGGTTCTCTGATAAGCGCCGGGCTGAGCCACATAATAAACCTGGTTCCGGGTGGGAAGACTACGGAGACGGAACAAAAACTGTTGAACGATGACAACTTAGAATTGTCTCAGATGGTCTAAAACAAAAGGTTACTTCACAAATTTATACATAGATCTATACATTTGCGGGTGCTCGAACGATAGATTCAAAATGTGTCTATACATATATCTACCTGTTAAGTATTTTGCATTTTTCTGCGTAATGTGATATCTTACTTAAAAATTGTTTGCTGTACTTATTGTTTTTTGGTCAAAATTTTATATTTTGATTAGGAAGAATACAGCATGTTGTGATGATCAAATCAAGATACTTTGCTATTATTTAACAAATACAGTACAACGTTTATATTAAAATTAAGGCTAAACTGCTGGCCAGCCATATATCTTTGTCATTCGACAGAGAACAAGTCCAGATATAATAAAATGTTCTCTGTATTAAAACATTTGCTTGGCAGACATCAAAAGGCCCAATTTGCAATCTGTAATGAAAGCAGGCTGTAGATTAATTTTGCAAGTGTCAGCATTCCTGGATATTTTTTAACATTTTGTGTAATTATGATAAAATTATCCCACGGGGATAATTTGAAGGCCAAATCTATTTATGGTCATTTAACGTCCTGGAGATGTGACGTAGATGTATAACTGTGAAATATATTTTCTGTATACACTAATAAGCATTTTGAGTAAACAGTTTATAAAGTTTATATATATTTCTTTTCATACATTACAAAATATGAGAGGTTTCCTTAAATAAATGTCGGTTATTTTTAAAATATCAAATCAAATCTCAATTAGCACCTTAACTGGAATGACGCAACAATTTCTATACTGTCTAACTTATTTTTATCCATTTCCATGGTCCTCAAATTAAAAAAACACTGACCCAATCTGTGATGATGTAATATTTTGGGAAACAAATGCAAAGTAATCTCAAACTAGTTCAAAAAATTGAACCATTGTCATAGGTATCTTTACCCAAAAACTACCACCAGAAAAAAAATACAGTTTATTTTAACGCAGAACTTTGCCAGGGCCTCCTGTCATCCGGGAACTCTGATTCATTGTATTCTCCCTCCCAAAGTTGTGCCAACAAAAGTAAAATCTTTGTTTTGTGCAGACGGCATGAGCCTCAAAAATTCATACTTTGATTGCGATGTAATCACCAAATTCTCTTGAAGAACTATTGTTTTTGTCCATTCCTTTAAAAGAACGACAAATAGTAGTTTTACCATACTTACAGCCATTTTTGAATAATACTTTGATTTGCAATGATTTCAATAAGGATACCTATTTTTTATTTCTACATCCTATGGAAAAAAGCATTAGATGTCAAAGCATCAAGCTGGTTGTCAAACGAATGAAAAGAAAGTTTTTTTAAATAGGAACAGAAGATTGTGATGTGTATTATAGTCAATAGTTAGAAGTATTAGTATGCCATCTACATACAAAGCAATGTTGTCTCCACATTTGGGCACAAAATAGAAAATTGACATTATTCTATAAACCTTTCCCAAGCCTTAATCACTGCCTTAACGTTTGCAGGTAGTTTTTCAATGAATTTTACATTCTCCTGTGGTATGATTTCCCTCCTATTATCATGTTTCAAATTGGGTATTGTTGGTGGAAGTTTTTTCTTTACATTTTTCTTCAATTAATTAATATAAGCCATAATGTTTTGTAAGGAAGCCATTTTTACAATGGAATGTTGCTTTTTCTATTGGTATGGTAGGATGCCTTGACATGTTTTTTGTTTCAGCAAGACATCTTGAAAGTTATCTTCTATAGTGGGAATTAATTGTTCCATGCAAAACACACTTTTCTGATTCTGAAACTCTCATACACCATTGGAACATAGAAAAGTTTTTGGTAGACCATACGCAATGCCTCAGATTTTGTTTCTTCACTCGTCGACAGACATTATCACTGCAACTATTCTACTTTCACCAAAGAAAATAATTGTTTTCACTTATTTACCAACCAAGTTTAATGTTCTTCCATCCACCTGAGACACTTTCTGGCTCATGCAGCGACGAGGATTCCTTTTAGTTTTTGTGGTAAGCAGCCCGTCAACATTAGATTGCACACCAACTTTTCATTTTATTAACAATTCATACGGGAACGTGGTACAATTTTCCAGGCACAGTTTACATAGACGACCCAAGCTCTTATTTTCTACATACCCACCATCCTTAAATTCCTGAAAACCTGCCAGACCGAAATATTACTAGTGTTCATACATTGGGAAATATCTCTTCGAGAGCACTTCTCTTTGCAAAGAACTGCTTCTATGCCTTTCCAAAATTCTCTATCTGGTCCTGTCCGACTTGTTCCAATGATATATCCAAACATTTAACATTTCACTCAGATTCACTGATAGTCATCCCTATTGAAAATGTTAGACTGCATGGAAAGTTTTGATTTTTTTTTCAAAGTAACCACAAATAAAAATTGCTTCTTAAAGCTATGTAACTGATAGAGTGGTAGTACTTGACCATATCGTATTAGAGTGGTTTATTTATAAACTTGTAAATTAGATCCAGCTTCATATTTTCAGAATTGGCAGGGGATGAGATGTTGAAAAATGTACTACGATTGTAATGATTTATATTTACCATAAGACCAGTTTACACGGTGTACAACCGATACCCTATATCTTACAAGTACATTTAAAACGTCTTTAGAAATTACGTAACTGAAAAAAGATCTTGAAGTCAATGACAATGCGATCTAGATTACTTGGCTCTATTGCAGATTAATAATTATCTCAATAGCCAGTTTGTAGGGATGTAAGGCTTATCAAATTAATTAATGTTTTAGAGGCAAGAAGCGTACAACTATACTACAATCTCTTCTTTTTGTCCAAAAAACAATCAAAATATAGTAGCAGCAGAGTCGATAGATACCGGTCCTCGAGCTATGCTCTCAAGTAGAGTTGACGTGTCGGGTTGCCGATAGCTGGCGTTAAACCAACTTCTTGCCCTAGTGTGATTCTTATCTGTTTGGTTAGTAGGTAGTTTTACCATTTTCAAGCATTTTTATAACTTTTCTAGTGTTCTGTCAAAAAAATCTTATTCCTAGTTACATTTTTTAATTTTATATCATATATAAAGAAAGAAAAAATATATTTGGTTTATAAAAAAATTTAACGAGATGATAATTTGAAATTACAGATGAGGACGTGGATAAATCGAAAAGAATTTTATTTTCGATTTAACTTAAACAGCTTAATTTAAAACCTGGATAAAACAGTTATGTCATACTCAAAACATTATGTAAAAATTTTCATTCACAATATGTAGGAACATATCTGTTTATAAATAGGTAATGGTAAATTAAGTAAATAAATGTCCATTTTTCTGTTTTATTACATATGCATGACAATATAATTAGGAAAACCATAGCTTATCCTCATACGTTTAAATAGCCATAGAAATTTAATTCAGATAAAGACAAACATTTTTCAAAATAATTTATTAACTTTAACACTACATAAAGTGTGCTAAACAATTTTACTTGATTCAGTATAGTGAGGAATAATATTTGGGATGAAATAGTTTTATATTTTTGACACCAGAAATTACATTTGTTATGACACTCACATTGTCTCTACATACTGTATTTTGGTAATTTATATAATATCAAAAGTAGAATATGAATGAAGATTTATTGATGGCCTACTACACCTGTCCTTTGTTTATATAGGCCTAAAACATCACTAACATGTCTTTCTTTTAGACCAGGGGTCGCCAAACTTTTTTAACTGTCGACCCCCAACCACTTTCCCAAACCTCACATTGACCCCCACCGTAAAGTTTTATTATAAGTGTAAGTGTATGAGCAAAATAAAATACGTTGTGATCTCTGATATCTGTATAAGAAAAAAAAACAAGGTTGTAACCCATTGCCACATCGACCCTCTAATTGACCCCCTAGCCGCATCGACCCCTGGGGGTCGATATAGACCACTTTGGCGACCCCTGTTTTAGACTCTGTATCATCACTAATCACTGTCAACATCCAATAATACTGTCTGAACTCTTCCCATTCTACATTTACCTATTTTATTTGTCAAGCTCTAACTTATCATCCTCTAATTACCTCAGTCATTATGTGCCTGTAAATATGTTGAATTTGTTGTCTAAATAGTTGAAATTCCCTCTTTTTCCTCCAACAGCCTATACAGTATTTGAAATCCAAAAACTAAAACTTTTAATCCCTTTCTCTAACCTGTTATTAAAGTTGAGCCAAAAAAAGTAAGATCTATTAATAAATAAAACATACAGGCTTATCTATAAATTATTTGACTTCGTTTTCTCGCCCTTAACGAAAACTCCCAAAAATATTTTTAAATGAACACAAATTGTAAGCAAAAAACGAACAAACTAATCAATCTAAAATCGCGAAAGTGACAGTTAATAGAAATATTTCACAATATTTACAAATAAATAATGTTTAAAACCAAATTAAAATAGTATTTAAAAAAGACAAAAGCAATAGCTGAGTTAAAAACGAGAAAATTTCATATATTAAAAGAATTTCGAATGTTTACAGTTGGCTCTCCCCGTGCTGGAGCCAAACTTACGCCGTCGAGCGATTGCAGCGCTGGAAGTGGCAGAAATATTTATGACGCAACATTATCGTAGCATTAGAGATACAGTATTGGAAACTCAAGGACCTGTATATTTATCGACTCTGATGGTAGTAAATACCAAACACGTGTACAAAAACAAAACGGCTCTATCGCCGTATAACGGAGATTACAAACAGTGTAAATGGAAGACAACGCCGATTCTTTTTTTTTTTTGTAAATTTTCACGTTTTGAAACTCTCCGAACCCAAAAATGTCAAAGCCAAATGATTGCCGAATTATATCAGGCTATATTGTTGCTATTATTATTAATTCAATGCTAAGCAATTTGGCACTAGAGTTAGGCGCCATCTCTTGTTAAATTTGATAATTAAAATTATTTAGGTTGTCAAAAAATCCCGTGGGTGGTTGGCGTCTATTTCGTTTAACGTGTTGCCATCCGGTCTACAGTCGCTATTTACTTAATACTGATTTATTTTTGAAATTTCTACCAACCAATTCATTTTGCATTCGAAAGGTAATTTATTTCAGTTTTTTTAAATATTTAAATAAAGTGTAAAGCTCGAGATGTTTGAAATTCATTTTGCGACATAGTAACAGGGCAACAACAACCGAAACACACCGTTTATTTCGATCAAATGAAATAGGAACTGTCGGATTCTTATTGGGCTATTTTAGGTCTAATCAAAACGATAATTTGGCTACAGGTGGCCGGTTAGGCCGCCATCTCGCGGCAAATTTCAAGATGGTAGGCTAACCGCCCAAATCTAGCCAAATTTGTTTCGGATTATTAATTAGACCAATAAAAATCGGGTTGCGGATGTTATCTCGCATATGTATTTAGGAACCATAGCTTTTGTATACGCATTAAATCGTATACAGCACTTTTTTCGTTTTAACTTCCACCGCTTCTCGGAAATACTTCGGCAGAAGAATTCCATCTTGGTCGCCGGGGCTCAAAATCACGTTGTTGTCGGACCGGTAGAACTTAATTCCGTCTTCCAGCGCCTTCCTTGCATCTACCAAAATGGTCACCTGACAGTTCTTCCTGATTCCGCTGATCACCCCTTCCTCTCCGGGTAATCCCGGACTGAAGTGTATGTGATTGCGATTCATTCGACGAATTCCCTCTTGCCTAATGCGGTTCCAGTTTCTTAAGAAGGTGCCGTGTACCACGTTTTCGGGCAGGTCGTCCGCTCCTAATTCTGTCAGGAGATTTTCTTCGTTTACGGCAACGGAGTGACCCTGATTGGCCCGGATGCGTAATTTCCCGTTCTCTTCCCGTAACGAGAACCTCTTTTTATCGTTCGTCTCCACCACGTTCCGGATATCGACCTCGGTATAGCGACGAAACTGTTTCAGTCGTAGTATGGAGGCGACATCTACATAACCCCCGTCGTCCATTTTTAGTCCCTGTTGCTCGGCGGCGTGACGAAGTAGCCAAGACAGGCGTTTGGATAGCTGTACGTCTTTTCCGCTCATTTTCTTCCTTTTCTTCAAGTAAACTCGATTAAATAAGGCAAATAAGTCTCTTAACTAACCGAAAAATCCATCGTAAGTCGTCCTAATTGTGCATAAATTACGTATCTCCACACCATTCCTTTAAAACGACGTAAACAATCGCACACGTGATCGTGGGTTAAGTGTTGCCACACGAAATTCTCCGGTATGTCGATGAAAGAATTTCTACTTAAAATATCTATTAAATAATAAATACCATAGAGAATGGTTATATAAAATTAGAGTAATAAGTGAAAATAAAGCAGTTTCTCGATATAATTTATTATTAAAAATTATAATTATTAATTTAGATAAGAGATGGCGCCTAACGTCTACATCTAATACCAAATTACTTAATATCTAATCAATAATAATAGCAAATTTATAGCCCGATTAATTACGACCATCATTTGATCGAGTATTAATGTATCGGGCTTCGAGATGTTTATTATATAATGATTTTTAAAATTTGAAACGTTTATTTGAGGTTGGACAATATATGATATTGTACTGGGCGGTAAAATCCCCGTTTAATTACATTGAGAAAGAACGAAGACTCCAAAAATCAACGCTAGCATCATACAAATTCAAAACTTCTCGCTAAATATCAAAATCATCCGTGTTTGTTCAGGCGTTTCGCCGTATGAAAAAATTAAGCAAAGTACGGCATCAAAACGTACCGGCTAATTGTAATCGAAGTACCCCTAATTAGCACTGTTTAGTGAGGATTATTGCTAAATATCTTTATACAGTACTGAATAGGAGTATTTTAATTAATTTCGGTCAACCCGGTATTATTCGTTACGAAAATTTACAAATATTTAACGGTTAGATATGAAATTCAGCAACATTTTTGACGATTGCCATTCGAAATGTGATCGTCTTTTCTGACAAAATACTATCAAAACTCAGACTGTATTATTTTAAACATAATTTTTCCATTCGTACGTCAATACAACTGGGAAATGCTGTCAAAATTCATACACTGGACCTATTGTAGGTTCCAACCGTATGTTAACACAGAAAACGAAGCATCAATAACCGGCGCATCATCGTCTCTGATAGAGTTTCAACCGGACATCCCTCAAATGTAAATGAGCCATTCCGAAACTACGACGTCGAGCGCATTTTATCCAATCACGGAAAACTTGACAGCTAGGCAGACTCGGCCATTATCGAAAACGGGGGTTTTACTACTAAAAATTTCGACAACTTCGAGCTTAAAACGATTAGAAAATTAAAACCAAAATCACGTCACTCAACAATAAGAACTGATAATTCGATTATTGTTAGAACAATACTTTATCAGAGATCTAGATAGGTTGGACCATGTATTCTCAACGACGTAAAAGTTGGATAAAGGATCCAATCCACGACATATCCAACTGGTTGACAATGAATCCGGGTGTAAAAAACAAGAACCTAGACGAAACCATTATGGAATATCTTCACCTTCATCCCGATTTAGTGGAGCAATTCGTTTTAGAGAACGTAACGGTCAAAACAGTGAAAAAATGGATAAGAAATAAAAGCGAGGAATATAACTCTGAAGCCAATCGATGCGATTTGAGTACCCCTTTCGATCTATCAGAGGACATGTTGGAACTCGTGAAGCTCGGGGAAACTAAAAAACTGTTGTTAAAGTTTACTCTGGTGCTCCAAGAGGCTGTAAAAGCTGACGACGTACAAGTGGACTTGAATAAAGTGGAAATATCGGAACGTGAAGTGAATCCCAATGTCAAAATCGAAAAATACAAGAACAAGAAGATTATTAAGTTGCGTTTCTGCTCCAGTTATCCGTATCACAACTGCATTATCGTATTAAGAAGGCTCGGTAACAGTTTACCCTTCTCTCTGATTGACGAGGACGTGACACTGTTCCTGTCCAATTGCTTGGCCACCTGTTTCTTTCTCTACGAATCTAAGTGCGAAGACGTAAGAGACCAAGTTCTAAGAGAGTTATTTCCTCAGATAAGAGCTTTGCTGATGGATGTCGACATGACAAGAAACGTTGCCACCAAGATATTATCGAAAACTCGCCACCTTCTATCGGCGGACAGGATTCACCTCTTCGTCTTCGACGACAAGAGAGACGAATTAATTGCCGAATATTTCGATTCCGGCATCGACTTCGTTATTTCCGATCTCAGATGCTCCCTAAACGAGGGATGCTGTAGCCTTACTGCCAATAAAGGAAAACCCGTAAGCATCAGTAACAACGCAGACAATGAGAAGATGTTTAATGAAATCAAAGCCACGAACGGAATAGATGTCAACAATCTTATCTGCTGTCCCGTTAAGTGCGACGGGAATTTACTTGGCATGTTGCAAGTGCTGAAAGGTTGTTCGTCGCCCTTCAGTGCCACAGACGAGGCGATTGCCGAGTGCATGAGTATTTACTGCTCCTTAGTGTTATACGTAGCAAAAACACACACTCATATACTGGTTAAAGAAAATAAAATAGCCGTCAACAAAGAGATGCTCAAATACCACATCCAGCCGTCTCGAGAGGATTTGGAATCGTTGGTACAAGATCCTTACCTGAAAATATCGCCACCGGATATAGAATCCATCGATTTTGCATTCACAAATTACGCGGAACAAGACATTCCCAAGTTATTTATACACATCGCTAGAAATATACTGGGCGATCAACTGTATCCTTTGGATAAGTTATCAAATTTCATCCTTACGGTTATAGAGAGTTATCGAGACGTCGCTTACCACAACATCTTTCACGCTTTCAACGTGACTCACTGTATATATTTAATGACCAAAGATGCTAAAGATAAATTTTCTGTTTTGGAGATCAAAGCGTTCCTTGTTGCATGCATCTGCCACGATTCGGATCACAGAGGATTTAACAATAACTTTCTGATTATAACCAATTCTCCTCTGGCATCTCTCTACGTAAACTCTATTATGGAACGTCACCATTATCAAATGGCTCTCAACATTCTCCAAGACGAGGAAAATGACGTTTTCTGCGATCTCTCCAAAGAGGCACGCCAAGAAGTCCTGAATGACATAGAGACTTGCATATTAGCCACCGATCTTGCCGTTTTTAGAAGCAATAAAGACAACCTTCAATATTTAATTGATAATGGCGAATTTGACATAGATAACGACGCTCATAGGAAATGCCTGAAGAAAGTCATGATGAACGGTTGTGACGTATCTGCCGTGTGCAAACCATGGCCCGTCCAGCTCGAAATAGTGAAGGACTTGTACAGGGAAATGTACGCTCAGGGCGACATCGAGAAAGAAATGGGGATGAAACCAGATTCGTTGATGGACAGGGATTTACAAGAACGCATCCCGGAAGACCAAATCAACTTTATTAATTACATTTGTTTGCCTTGTTACGAGCTGGTAGCCAATTGTTTACCCCAAACGAAATTCATTTTGGCAGCTTGCAAGGAGACTATCAAAAATTGGAAAGAAACTTACCCCTTTCAAGAGCCAATTAAAATTTGACACGTTAAATATAATCATTTTCAAAATTCAATCTGTTTACTTCAAAAACTGAAGTACTGCTACGAAACATAATTTATTAATATCTAATCAATAATAATAGCAAATTTATAGCCCGATTAATTACGACCATCATTTGATCGAGTATTAATGTATCGGGCTTCGAGATGTTTATTATATAATGATTTTTAAAATTTGAAACGTTTATTTGAGGTTGGACAATATATGATATTGTACTGGGCGGTAAAATCCCCGTTTAATTACATTGAGAAAGAACGAAGACTCCAAAAATCAACGCTAGCATCATACAAATTCAAAACTTCTCGCTAAATATCAAAATCATCCGTGTTTGTTCAGGCGTTTCGCCGTATGAAAAAATTAAGCAAAGTACGGCATCAAAACGTACCGGCTAATTGTAATCGAAGTACCCCTAATTAGCACTGTTTAGTGAGGATTATTGCTAAATATCTTTATACAGTACTGAATAGGAGTATTTTAATTAATTTCGGTCAACCCGGTATTATTCGTTACGAAAATTTACAAATATTTAACGGTTAGATATGAAATTCAGCAACATTTTTGACGATTGTCATTCGAAATATGATCGTCTTTTCTGACAAAATACTATCAAAACTCAAACTGTATTATTTTAAACATAATTTTTCCATTCGTACGTCAATACAACTGGGAAATGCTGTCAAAATTCATACACTGGACCTATTATAGGTTCCAACCGTATGTTAACACAGAAAACGAAGCATCAATAACCGGCGCATCATCGTCTCTGATAGAGTTTCAACCGGACATCCCTCAAATGTAAATGAGCCATTCCGAAACTACGACGTCGAGCGCATTTTATCCAATCACGGTAAACTTGACAGCTAGGCAGACTCGGCCATTATCGAAAACGGGNCCGGAATCACATGAGTCGTCAGTCTCTAAGATCCTCACAGAAATTTCATCCGCAGAGCTACTAACTTCAACTTTTTTCTTCTTAAAAACTTCCTTTTTAACAAATTTAACATTTTTATTCACTTCATTCTTTTTCTTCGCGGCCAACAGAAACATAACAACAAAAGTAAACATAATAATATTAAATAAATAGTTGTGAAAAGCAACGCCTTGTACCTTGGGACAGTCCCAAGGTACAAAAAATTCACTGTCCCAAGGTACAATTTTCTCTTGTTTATAACAAAGTACGGTTATAATTTTTGAATTACAGAAATCCAATGTTATTTATTAAAATAAGTGGTTACGAATGTGGTTTTCAACTAACTGTACCTTAATTAAATTACTCGCCTCAAAATATTTTGATTAAAACCAAGATCCAAATGGATTGTAAAAAAACAAACACCTATAAAAATCACACAATGTGTCACAGTGTTAAAACTAGTCAAAATAGCCGACTTTACGTCATGCATCCTGAATGTTGNTAACTGTACCTTAATTAAATTACTCGCCTCAAAATATTTTGATTAAAACCAAGATCCAAATGGATTGTAAAAAAACAAACACCTATAAAAATCACACAATGTGTCACAGTGTTAAAACTAGTCAAAATAGCCGACTTTACGTCATGCATCCTGAATGTTGTAATGAAATAGCTACGAGATATCGCTACTTACTACTTCTCAATATATTATTTTTCAAATGACGAGCTTGTCCTAAGGTACAAGGATCTCCCCTACACGTTTTCGACTTGAAAACTTCGGCCGCAACCTCTCTAATACTAAGAATCAATAAGACTCCTGTGTCCTGTTTATGTCCTTGGTATATTTCCAAAGACAGGTAAAACAAATTGATAACTATTGGCCGTTTTGAGAGTGTGATCGACTTCGGACGCGAAATTTACGCATTTAGCGGAAAAATTATATTGATAAATAACAAACATATACCGTAGTTCCTTTGTCAATGCATCCTGCAATAATTCGCCTAATATTAATTAATACAAAAGATATGGGCATAAAGTTAAACCTCTATACACTCCAAAATCCACTCTAAATCTACTTTTTGTAAGGACATGAAAGAGACAGCTGATAGAATTAGAAATATTAGCGATATTCGTGAATAAATGGTATTTACAAATAGTCTTTTAAAAAGACAAAAGTTATTACATCACACCTGGTATTATAACAGCCAATCATTTTAAACTTTCGAAATCTTTGTTAGTGTTTAAAACGTAAACTGTTAAGATTTATGACAAGAAATAGTGAACTTTCAGAGGCCGAAATTCAAAATATATATGAACTAGCAGGTGGGCCCGGCGTTGCTCGGGCAAAAGTAACGATAGCGAAGATTAAGATTATTACGTTATAGTCAACCTTACCCGTTTTCACAGAATGCAAAAATTGGATCTCCCGTTTCCAGACTAATTAGAGAATTTTTACATGGGTCTAAAAATATCTTCAATTTCCTGCAAAAACGAAAACCAACTGCACTTTCTCTTAAAACGTCGCTTTCTCTTAACAATTCCATTGTTACGTAACACTTCCATTGTTGACACTTCCATTGTTAACACTTTCATTGTTACTTAACACTTCTATTGTTGATGGAAGTGTTAAGCTTAATCCTGTCCCTCTCCCCCCAGGGGGGCATTTCGAAAAATCCCTTCTTAGTGTGCGTTTTCGTGACGTACCCTAACTGTGTACCAAATTTCAGCTTCCAACTCCTAACCGTTTGGGCTCTGCGCTGATTATTATTATTATCAACTCGTCTCGATTATATATATAGATTAGCAGGTGGGCCCGGCGTTGCTCGGGCAAAAGTAACGATAGCGAAGATTAAGATTATTACGTTATAGTCAACCTTACCCGTTTTCACAGAATGCAAAAATTGGATCTCCCGTTTCCAGACTAATTAGAGAATTTTTACATGGGTCTAAAAATATCTTCAATTTCCTGCAAAAACGAAAACCAACTGCACTTTCTCTTAAAACGTCGCTTTCTCTTAACAATTCCATTGTTACGTGACACTTCCATTGTTGACACTTCCATTGTTGATACTTCCATTGTTGATACTTCCATTGTTGACACTTCCATTGTTACTTAACAGTGTTAAGCTTAATCCTGTCCCTCTCCCCCCAGGGAGGCATTTCGAAAAATCCCTTCTTAGTGTGCGTTTTCGTGACGTACCCTAACTGTGTACCAAATTTCAGCTTCCAACTCCTAACCGTTTGGGCTCTGCGCTGATTATTATTATTATTATTATCAACTCGTCTCGATTATATATATAGATTACCAGGTGTTGGAAAGTTTCAGAGAAATAGTTACAATAACTAAAGATCATTCTAAAACTGCCGTGGCCTGTGTAGATAAAACATGAAAATTATAAAGAATGGAGAGAAGTGGACAGAAGAAACAGAGATAAACGAAAGGTTTCCTTCCTTACAAAATAACAATTAGCAACTATGGTAGCCGCTAATTTACAAAATAATGTGTCCCATCAGACGATGTGGTGATATGTTCGTGATAACAACATCATAAAATACCGAAAAATCAAAGTGATACCTAATTCGATACCTGTTCACAAGCAATAAAGACTTCAACAGGCTAAATCTGTCACCAGCTCGACCATGGAATGGGAGAAAGTTGTGTCTTCTGATGAGAAAAAGAATTTAGATGGGCCAGATGGTTACGGATATTATTGGCACGGTGTGAAAAGAGAAGCCAAGGTTAGAATGAGTAGTCAGTTAGGATCTGGCAGTGTAATGGTTTGCAGGATTTGTTGGTGAAATTCTCGCCTCAGTAATCTCGGTATTAGTCTAATCACTGGATTTACAAATACCACGATTTGGCAATGTTGATGAAACACCCCGTTAGAGGTAATTAGAGGATGATAAGTTAGAGCTTGACAAATAAAATAGGCAAATATAGAATGGCAAGAGTATTATTGGATATTGACAGTGATTAGTGATGATACAGAGTCTAAAAGAAAGACACGTTAGTGATGTTTTAGGCCTATATAAACAAAGGACAGGTGTAGTAGGCCATCAATAAATCTTCATTCATATTCTACTTTTGATATATAAATTACCAAAATATGTAGAGCCAATGGGAGTGTCATAAGAAATGTAATTTCTGGTGTCAAAAATACAAAACTATTTCATCCCAAACATTATTTCTCACTATACTGAATCAAGTAAAATTGTTTAGCACACTTTATGTAGTGTTAAAGTTAATTAATTATTTTAAAAAATGTTTGTCTTTATCTGAATTAAATTTCTATGGCTATTTAAATGTATGAGGATAAGCTATGGTTTTCCTAATTATATTGTCATGCATATGTAATAAAACAGAAAAATGGACATTTATTTATTTACTTTACCATTACCTATGTATTGAACAGATATGTCATACTCAAAACATTATGTAAAAACTTTCATTCACAACATGTAGTAATATAACAGTTTTAAACAGCTCTTCTATTTAAAACCTGGATAAATTACTTATATAAATTTGATATAAAATTAAAAAATGTAATTACAATAAGATTTTTCTTGACAGAACAGTAGAAAAACTTACAAAACTGCTTGAAAACAGCAAAACTGTCTATCAACCAAATAAATAAAACCAGAGTTGATTGATATGGTTTGAAAGTGGTGTAAAAAAAATGCCACCTCTCACCAGATTTGCAGGAGCCTTTTACATTGTCTGATTTATAGATCCATATCAAATGTTATAGCATTGACCCACAATTTTCACTATATTTAATTATATAAAATTATATTTTTTAAAACAAAACCATCTGTTGAACTGCTAGTAAAGAAAGTATGCAGAAGTTTGTTTCCACCTTGTAAATACACCACTTAATCCTAATGCTGTACTATGGTATAAACAGTACAAACTGTCTCATTGAACCATTTTTTAAAACACATTGATTTTTTAGAAATGCAGACTAGTTCATCCTCTTTAAATTTGTTTTGTTGAGTTGTTTTAACTTTCTTATCATTTTGCCAATCTTTAAATTGTTGTTTTCTATTCCTAACTAATCTTTAATGAAAATTGATTAATTTAAAAATTACTTTATCCCTTTTAATATCATTCTTTTTAATACATCAAATATTTTA